AATTTTCTGCACCTAATTTTACAGTTTAATGCCAGTTTTTCCTTGAACTTTTTGGGATATTCTTGTATAACCATCACTTGTACAATCATTGTTAATATTTTAAAGATTTAAAAACATTTTTATTTTTTTCATTGGAAAGGCAAATATGCAGAGAAGGAGATAGAAAAAGATTTTTCTGTCTGCTGGTTCACTCCCCAGGTGGCCACAATGACTGGAGTTCAGTTGATCTGAAGCCAGGAGCTTCTGGGTCTCCCACGCGGGTCCAGGGTTCCAAGGCTTTGGGCCGTCCTCTGCTACTTTCCCAGGCCACAGGTAGGGAACTGAATGGGATATGGAGCAGCCAGGATGAGATCTGTTGCCCATCTAGGCAGATGCAAGGTAAGGATTTAGTCACTAGGCTATTGTGCTGGGCCCAAGTGTTAATATTTTATAGCATTAACTTTATGTCCTCTGTGTGTACATGTATGTTATAGTTTGAAGCTAGCTTTTACTCATCATAAAGAGAACTGAGCATGTATCTCAGGAATGAGATATTAGCCTATATAATCACACTGTTTGTCATTGGAGAAAATAAGTAGTGATTACTTAGAACGACCTAAAAGCAAACCTGTATTCAGATTTAGAGTCCTACAGTGGTATCATGCATCTGCTCAAACTGACTTTACAAATTAGGATCCAAAGTTAAGTCATACATTACATTTGGGTTTTGTGAATTTTCTTTAGTAGCCTTTCAAAAATAACTTGATGTATACCTGATATATGACAAATAGTACATGGCTATATTTTATTTTAGGTTTTAAAAATAGTGTCTATTTGCACCTGATGCAGTGGCCTAGTGGCAAAAGACCTTGCCTTGACCATTTTAAAAAAGATAGTATCTATTTAACATTTTAACTGCAGAGTATATATATATATATACATACATATATAAATACATATATATATAAATACATACATATATATATATGTATTTTTGTCACGGAGAGAGAGAAAGAGAGATCTTCATTCCATTGGTTCATTCCTCAAAAGACCACAGTGACCAGGGCTGGGCAGCGGGCTGGAACTCCACACTGGGCTCCCACGTGGGAGGTCCCTGGCACTTGCCGTTTTCCACTGCTTTCTCGGGTGAATTATCAGGCAGCTGGAGCAGAAGTGGAGTAGTTGTAACTCACACCAAGACTCGCATGCAATGCTCGTGTTGCAGGCGGTGACGTAATGTACTGTGTCACAATGACCATGTTATTAGTTTATTTCTAGTCTGGATGCCATTTTGTTCTCTCCCCTTCTCTTGCCCTTTTCTTCTGCTTAGGACCTCCAGTGTATGCGTAGAACGGTGGTGAGAGCAGTCACGTCTTGTTTCTAACCTTTGGAGGAAGTTACAGTGTTTTAGCAGCAATACAGCTGTTGGCAGTGGTTTTGTGTAAATGTCTTTTTTTTTGACAACAAAGTTTAGTGATTTTTAAAAAAAAATCCTTTATTTTGTTAATTACATTGCATTATGTAATCCTCCATGGTGGATTCCTCCACCTTGTTGCATTACCATAGTTCAAATTCAGTTGAGATTCTTTCATTAGAAATATTTACCAAGCATAAAGTCCAGCATCTTATTGTCCTGGTAAGTTCAACGGTTTCTTGGAGAGACCATCTCTGGTCTGAACGTAAAGCCAGTAAAGTATCATCCCAATCAATTAAAAGCCCCAACATAACATCAGCAACAATTTATAACATTATGGAATTAATTGACATGGTATTGATTAACCCATATGTTAAAAGGAAAATACAGGTTCTTGACCACATCCTATGACTTCTTCATAGACATTTCAATTTTGGTTTATATACTACTGGGTTCTATACACCTCAAAATGGCTATAGATTACTATTCAGCTGTCTCGTGTCTATTTTCATTTCAGTATTTAGCTGTTTATAGTGTTGAAGCATGATTTTGCTGAACCTGGTTGTTTTTCGGATGGTCTGAACTGGCTTATAACTTTAACAAGACATGTGTCAACAGTTTAGGTGAATAGTTTTAGGAGGGGTGTGCAGAGAAATCCTCAATACCCCAGTGAGGAATAACTAATCTTTGTATCCCACCTAGTGAGGTATGAGTGAATCCATGCTGACCATTTCCAGTCTGATTCTAAGCTTTCCTTGTTGTTGTCTGTCTATCTATTCTAGGTTTTTTTGTTTGTATGTTTGTTTGTTGTTTTTTAATGATTTATTTTTATTATTTCTTGTATTGGAAAGGTGGATATACAGAGAGGAGAGACAGAGAGGAAGATCTTCCGTCCGATGATTCACTCCCCAAGTGAGCACAACGGCCGATGCTATGCCAATCCGAAGCCAGGAGTCTCTTCTGGGTCTCCCACGTGGGTGCAGGGTCCCAAAGCTCTGGGCTGTCCTAGACTGCTTTCCCGGGCCACAGGCAGGGAGCTGGAAGGGAAGCAGGGCTGCCGGGATAGAACTGGCGCCCATATGGGATCCTGGGCGTTCAAGGAAAGGACCTTAACCACTGCGCCACCGCGCCGGGCCCGTATGTTTGTTTTGAGGGTTTTCTGGAGCGATCCTGATGGTCATTATGAGAGAGGGTGGGGACCCAGAGCTGGAACCAGGCAAGGACCAGAGCAAGCTCCCTTCACTAGTCCCAATGGAAGTTTATTATTTTTCTGTTTCTGCGGACCGCTCAGGGCTGCTGGTTGTCGTTCCGATGATGCTGGTTTCTGCACGGCAGAGTTTGGACTTCTTCCATCCCCAGATGGGGGTGGGAGACCTCAGAGTTGTTGGCCTCCGAGGGCACTCCTATTCCTGGTGGTCTCCTTGGCAGTTGGGATGTAGTCCTTGTTGCTCGTATTGATAGTACATGGTGAGGATCTGGGAGTCTTCAGGGTTGGGATTCGAGCTTCCTCCTGTCCACCCACTCCACTGTGGGGTCCCCACCTTGCTCCATGCGCATGACCTCCTGTTAAGAGGCTGTCAGGATCACTCCTGATTCCCCCCTTACGTCTTTGTAGCTTTACTATTGTCTAATGCCGACTTGAGTCTATTGTCTGTGAGTTACCAGATATGATCCTGATGGGTTATATTTCACGTCCTCCTCACACTTTTTAGGGATATGGAAAATTTCTCTGCACTCCCTCCACATTATGAAATAACATATGGTATTAAGAGTGTTTTAGATTTTACAGTTCTTTGATGTAGATCATAAGCAGTCTGACTAACATAAATTGTTGATTTATAGATTACATCACATTGTCTTACTGCATTAGATACAGGTCTGTCCTTGTTTACTTTTATTCTAGTTTATTAGGTTTTTTTTCTTAATAAGGAGTGGATGTTGGATTTAATCAAATGTTTTTCTGTGTCTGTTGAGATGATTGTATTTTTCAGTTATAAGAGTGAATTCCATTGGTTTGTGAATATTCAGTAAATATTGCATTCCTTGGATGAACCTCATGTGGTGATGAGATATAACCTATTTTATGTTTTGAGCTACAATTTCTGAAATTTCTTAAGGGCTTTTATACATTAGTCCGTGAGGGATATTACTTGACAGTTTTCTTATAATACACTTTTCTGGGTAATGCTTGTTCTATTGGGAGTTGCAAATTACTCCTTGCTGTTTAATTTCCTGAGTGCTAAGTAAAATTACTATATTCTTATATTGCTTTCTTAAGTGTTTTTAACCGGTAGAATTCACCAGAAAGTCATTTAGGCCTAACTCTTTGTGGGTATTTTTTTTAAACTATAAATTTAATTATAAGTAGTTATAGGATTCTTTAGGTTATTTCTTGAGTGACTTGTAGGAGTTTGTGTTTGAGGGAAATGATTTGTTTCAATGATGTTCTGTCTACACCTTGTTCTGTGTTGAGTCTGATAAGCTTTGCAGGGGGCTCTTTCTCAGCTTTGGGGTGTTCTTAGTCCTGGACCCTGGTAGGACTAGGTTGCTTGTCTTTAGAGCTCTGGGCTCTCTGCACTTGGACTTCTCTGTTTCCCACACATGAGAGCTCTACAGCCATCTCATTTCTACAGGGGCCCAGTGGGCTGATTTCACTTGACTGCATTGTGTCGGGTACCCTCTGCAGGACGTCATGGGGACAGTTCCTCTCTGCCAGTCTTTCACTGTCTTGTCCAGTGTGTTGAAGATTATTTTATGTATTGTCTTTTTTTTAGGGGGGTTTAGTGGAAAAGTACATCTGGTTCCTTTAACTCCCATCTTGTTCCCAGTCAAAAGTATGTTTAAGAGAAGCAAGTTGGTAATTAAAAATACATATATGTGCGTATATATATGCACATACATACACATACATATATATGTGTAGCATGTACGTATGTACTTAATATTTATTTTTATTTGAAAGATTCATGGAGAGAAGGAGAGACAGAAACAGACAGCTTTCATCTGCTGGGTCACTCCTCAATGGCTGCAATGTCCAAAGCTGGGCAGGTCAGAAGTTGGGAGTTTGGAGCCTTCTCCAGGTCTTCCATGTGGGTACAGGCACCCACAGGCTTGGACCATGCTCCACTGCTTTCCCAGGCACATTAGCAGGGTGTGCTGATGCTGCAGGTGGAAATTCATGTGCTTTACCAACCCCTTAAAATACATTTTATAAGTTAGATTTTACTGTTCTATTAACAGCCTTCTTCCCCTCTACTTCTGTCAACTAATACATTGCTTTTATTTTTTTCTTCTAAACAGTTTCTTATTCCCAAATAGTTTGTTGTTAAGGTAAAATTAGACTCCTGCCCAGTTAAACATAAAAAGTGAAAAATATAAGCTTCTGAAGTACACATTGTATAGTAAATATAATGTTATATATTTTCATCTGAGTTATGTGGTGGAAAAGCATGTATATAGTTATGAATAGGAACTCAAGTTAATTTGCTCTGATACATGTTAAAGAAAGAACTCTGACACCTCTATGTCTTAAATGCTACATTTTCAGATTGATAAATAAATGCTTTGTTCAGATACTCATATTTTACTTCTTTTTGTGTTGTTGCAGATAATCAAAAAACAAGATGAGTTTCTTCTGTGGACTACAGTCAGCTACAAGAAACTGTGTTTTCTTCCAATTCAGTTTGCTGGCCAGATGGAGAAATTGTACCTCACCAGGCTGTAATGTAGTTCAGATGCACCATTTGGTAAATAAATACCAGGGACTCACATCAGTAAAACAGTGTGATAAGTTGACTTTTCTGCCTGGAAACTTTCATTTCCTTAGGACTTTAAATAACAGAAGAACAAAATGTTACTACAGTACCAAAAATAAGGAAATTGGGCCTGTTGCCCACAAATGTGCTGCGTGGAATGAATCCCTTTCAAGCTGGGTGCTGAGGAAGGAAGCGGCTCCTTTGCGTGCGTTCTGCTGTCTGCCCGTGGTGGCCAGGGGTCTCCACACTTCTGCGCGCTTCCAGGCTGCTCCGGTTCCCCTCTTGTTGGTTGTTCTTAAGCCAGTGCAGAAGCTACTTGCAATCATTGTAGGCAGGTAAAATACTTAACAAAAAAAAGTACTAACTTTTATTAGTTTCTGTATTAACATTTTGTATTAAATTCATGGACTTAAAAATTAAGCTTTTCTATTTGCTAAATTGCCCTTTCAGAGAAATGTTGTTACTCTCACTTGTGCCACAGGTAATTCACAATTAACTTTCTAAATGGTGGGCTCTGCCTAATTTTGTTATGTATAATTTTAGACATGTGCTGCATGTTAAATTAATTTTTTACTTGAGAGAGTTAGAGAAAAGGAGTGATGGGAAAGGCTCTTTGATTTGCTGGTTCACTTCCCAGATGGCCACAACAGCCAGAACGTGGCCAGTCTGAAGTTGGGAACCTGGAGCTTCTTTCAGATCTCCTATGGGGGTGCAGGGGCCCAAGGGCTTGGGCCATCATCCGTTGCTTTCGCAGCCTTTAGCAGGGAGCTGGATTGGAAGTGGAGCAGCTGGGAATCAAACCGGTGCCTATATGGGATGCCATTGAAGATGAGCATGCTAAGCCACTATGTTGGCCCTTGAAAATTTATGATCTAAAAATAGGATCTTTGAAAGTTATTCTTATATACTATATGAACATTTTAAAAAGATTTTATATTTAGGAAGAATCAGGTGTTACCTGTTGATTACAACTTACATGGAAGTACACATTCTTTTTAGTTTGTGGATTCTGAGATGGCAAATCATTGAAGTGAGAAACTGCTCATCCTAGTCAACTTAGCTCTTACACCAATGATATTTTAATTTTTTTGTTCAGTTTCTAACAAATATTATTTTATCTTGGTGTTTATTTATTTTTAAAGATTTATTTTTATTGGAAAGGCAGATTTACAGAGAGGAAAGACAGAGCTGGAGCCCCCTTCACTGGTTCACTCCCCAAGTGGCTGCAGTGGCTGGAGCTTAGCCTATCTGAAGCCAAAAACCAGAAGCTTCTTCTGGGTGTCCCACATGGGTGCAGGGTCCCAAGGCTTTTGGACCATTCTTTTTAAAAAAAATTTTTTTTTTTTTATTGGACAGTCACATATGTTCAGAGGAGGAGAGACAGAGACAGATCTTCCGTCCAATGGTTCACTCCTCAAGCGGCCACAATGACTTGAGCTGAGCTGATCCAAAGCCAGGAGTCCAGAGCCTCTTCTAGGTCTCCCATGTGGGTGCAGGGTCCCATGGCTTTGCGCTGTCCTTGACTGCTTTCCCAGGCCACAAACAGGGAGCTGGATGGAGAGTAGAACAGCTAGGACAGGAACTGGCACCCCTATGAGATTTTTGGCACTTATAAGGTGAGGATTTAGCCACTCTGGGCCCTCTTGGTGTGTTGGTTTTTTTTTTTTTTTTTTGGCTAATCATTTTGTTGTTATGTAGTTTCAAGTTTGATAACTTTGGAATCTTTCCCAGCCTTCTTTGCATTTTTATGCCAACCAACTCAATTTGCATTTTATTAAGAAAATAAGAGCTTATATTCTGTAACTTATTGTTCTGTAGAAATCTATTCTTTATGATCTGGCATTGGCACTTTGTATGCTTAAAACTATTGTCTTTCAGATTAACTGATGAACTCATCCCAGGTTCTTGGGTTACTGACTCTTTCTGATTTCTAGCATGTTCTCATTTCTAGTAACTTAGTTTTAGCTCTTTTATTGTTACTTTTTTTAGCCACCTAAAATTTCCCTTTAGTATATGTTCTGCTACATTTTAAATGAATAATATGTCACAAAAAGTTTTAAATAGAAAGTAACTTTACTTCATACTTTGGCCTATGTTCCCTCTGGTTGAAACACTGTCACTTAACAAAATTGTGACAACTTGAGGAGGTAATTTACTTGTTCCTTTCTGTTTTCATTTCACTGGAAAGGCAGAGAGACAGAGACTGAGAGAGGCCTTTCATCTGTTGGTTTGCTGCCCAGATGCCTGCATCAGCCAGGGTGAGGCTGTAAGAAAACCAGAAGGCTGAAGTGCCATGGGGTCACCCACATGGGTGGCAGTGACCCAGGTGCTTGAGCCTCCACCTGTTGCCTCCCAGGCGTGCCTTAGCAAAAATCCTGATCAGAAGCAGAGGAGCTGGGACTGCATAGGCTGTGAGCCTCCTAAGTGGCATCTTGCTGTTTATATTGGAAACGCAGATTTACACAGAGAATGATAGAAACAGAGGGAAAGATCTTCCATTCCCACATGCCTGCAATGGTCAGAGCTGAGCCAATCTGAAGCAGGAGCCAGGGTCTCCCGTGTGGGTGCAGGGTCCCAAGACTTTGGGTCATTTTCCATTGATTTCCCAGGCCACAAGCAGGGAGCTAGATGGGAAGTGGGGCAACAAAGATGTGAACTGACACCCATATGGGATCCTAGCACCTGCAAGACAGGATTATCCAATGCATCCTAACCCTCTCCTCCCCCCAAGTGGCTTTTTCTTTTTTTTAAAAGATTTCTTTGTTTTTATTGGGAAGGCAGATTTTACAGAGAGGAGAGACAGAGAGAAAGATCTTTCTTCCACTAGTTCACTCCCCAAGTGGCTGAAGCAAAGTGAGCAGCCAGGAGCTTCTTCCGGGTCTCCCATGTGGGTGCAGGGTCCTAGGGCTTTGGGCCACCCTCAACTGCTTTTCCAGGCCACAAGCAGGGAGCTAGATGGGAAGTGGAGCATCTGGGACATGCACTGGTGCTCCTATCGGATCCTAGCACTTGCAGACTTCAGTGGCATACTAGGCCCCTAAGTGGCATCTTAACTGCTGCCCCAAAGTGTTCAAGCTAGGATAATATTTTGTAAAGTATACTTTTGCCAGGAGAATAATGTATATATACTAATTTTTTTTTGTTGTGGATTTATAACTGAACTGTCATGGAAAAATTTTTACCCCAGTATTGAAACATTGCTTGTTGATAAAATGTTTCGGAATTCTGTCAAGCAGTAGAATGTTATTTGGTAAGAATTGCTCCTCTTTGGATGTTATCCATAAAGCCTTCTATTTCCTGGTTTTCAGTGCTCAGGATCTTACTGCTTTCCTTTGTTGTGTTGTAGAGAGGACAGTGCATTTTCTGCTGTTACACAATATTTGTTTCCCAAATCAGTGCTGAGCTAGTCTGTCCCATTCCATGATGAAGCCCTGGTGGACTACGCTTTAAATCTGAGGAGCAGTTGGGAGAATGGTAGTCTTACTGTAACTCTTCACATGTTATTTGGCAGGTGGTTAAGTGACACAACTGGACTATCTCTTTCTGATGGCCCTGTTCCTTTATTGTCTTTGAAATGGATATGTTTCTTAGCTCGCCTCTGTTTCAATGTTACCTTCTAACAGGATTATTGGAAAGGTTAAATGCAATAATACAAGCGTTAATAATTATCAGTACTTCCCATGTCGTGAATAATTCAATGTTTTGTTTTAAATAACTTAATTTGTGACAGTAATAGTAAAATAATTTTTTAATTGGTGTTTTTGCTTAAACTAGCTGAAGAAGAAAATTCAGATGAATATTTTAAACTATCGTGGTATAATTCATTACTTTTTCACACCATTTGGCTAATATTTTCAAGGTTTATTTTTATTTGAAAAGCAGATTTGCAGAGAGGAGACACACACACACACACACACACACACACACACACACACACACGGAAAGAGAGAGAAGAGATCTATCTTTTGATTCAGTTCCCACATGACCATAATGGTTAGAGGTGAGCCTATCTGAAGGCTAGGAGCCAGGAGCTTTCTTTGGGTCTCCCATGTGCTTGCAGAGGTCCAAGGACTTGAGGCATCCTCTGCTACCTTCCCAGTCCATAAACAGGCAGCTGGATTGGAGATGGAGCAGCTGGGACTAGAACTGGCACCCACAAGGATGCTGGCATTATAGGGAGAGGATTAGCCTGTTCAGCCACCACACCTCATTCAGCTAACTTTATAAACTGACAGAGTCGTTTACACGGAGAAGTGTATCATAATAATTGAAGTGCTTGATGTGAAATTTGAGTATGTGCATGTAATTTTATGTGTGGATATGTTTATCAATTTCAATTTTTTGTTTTGTTCTAGGGGCATAAGGAAATGGTGGCAAGCACTTCCTCCTAACAAGAAGGCATTGTTTAAAGAAAGTATAAAGAAGAATAAATGGAATTTATTCCTTGGTTTGAGTGGTTTTGGATTGCTATTTGTAGTGTTTTATTTTACTCACCTTGAAGTGAGTCCAGTCACAGGAAGGAGCAAGCTACTATTATTGGGAAAAGAACATTTCAGACTTCTGTCAGAACTGGAATATGAAGCAGTAAGTTGAAAGAAGTGTTCGTGATTGGATTGCTTAATATAACAAAGTAGTGAAATTTCTTAAGTATGGGTGAGGTACTGCTTTTTATGTTACTTTTATTGTGAAGTTGACCTTTGTTTCCAGAAGGCCTCATGCTTTCACAGCTGGTATTCCACTGCCTGCGTTGTTTTCTCCTGTTCATCCAGCTAAGCTTTGCTCAGCACATGTCATCTGAAATGTGACTTTCTAAGGAATACCTTCCTTGATTATCCTGTCTGAGTTATGTGGGGTGACTAGATTACATGCCAGGGGGTAGTCTTCATTGAGACACAATTGTATTTGTGCTCAGTGCTCAACGGTCCAAAGCCTAGGTCTCCTACTTTTCTGTTTGTCTCTATATACTGCACTTTTCCGTCAGAGTGCTTATATGAGGTAACAATAATTATTTGCATAATTTTTGTTTGCTGATTTTGTTAGACTAAATTTCATGGGGCCAGGGATCTTATTTGTTTATTGTCTTAGCACTAATAAAATGTGCAAAGTAGTGCTTAGTGTTTCTTTATTGAATACATAGATCTGTAATCAATTTTATATCAGGAAAATCAAAATAAGGCAGTTTTTTTTTTCCAAGCATCAATTCTGGAGGTTTATTATGTGTCTTTTTGCTGGGCAGAGAAAAGAGAGGGAGAGAAAGAGAACTCTCATCTATGGGTTCTGAAATCCCACAATGGTTGCTAATGGGTGGGTCCAAGGCCAAGAGCAAAGAATATATAATCCTGGCCTTGAACAAGAGTGGCAGGAAGCCAGTTACCTGAACCATCACTGCCAGCATCTGTTAGAGGAAGCGAATCGCTAACTAGACTGTGAATGAATCCCAGGTACTCTGATGTGGGCCTCTTAGTGACCAGGTGAAATTGCCTTGCCTATTGGACTTTTAAATGCAAAGTAAGGGTGAAATCTAGAAGTCTTAAGTCTTTGAAAAGTACACTAATTCGAGTAGTTAAATATTTTGTATTCTAGTGAATTTCTTGAGGGCCAAGGTCTTCCTTCTGTTCCCAGTAGGTACTCCATCCTGGATTGTTGAATTGGTACATCTCAGCCTTGCTTGAGGGTTTTGGCATAGTTATACCTTTCTTTTTATTCCAAATGAATGCCCAAGTTAACAATGGAAAGTTACCATTAATTAAAAAAATAGTAATTGCATTTCTCTATAAAAGTTTTTAAATTGATGTCTTATAATGTATGCAGAGAATTTTATCTGTTTCTTAGAATATAGTCTGGCAAAAAAACAAAACAAACAACCCCCGCCCAAACAAAAAACAAACAAACAAAAAAGAATGTAGTCTGGCCAGAGGCAAGTTTGAGAAAGCTGTTACAGAAAGATTTAGACATTCTTGGTAAAACTAAATGCATCCTCTTCCACTCATATGCTGAGAAATGTCGAACATGTACATGTATACACAAGTATATGTAAATCTTCTCACGGGTATACTTTTTTCTTATGAAACTGATATGTTATATCTGCTTGATAGAAAAATTTGGACACTAGATATATTACAAATATATTTTATATACTCTTGCTTTCAGAATTTTGTTGCAAGCAATTTTCATTGATGGGGTATGCTTTTAAAATCTAAACTGGAGGGAAAAAATCTAAGTTGGAGGAAATTAAATTTGTGTTTTATAAGGTCATATATTTCTAATGCATTCAGGGAAGAAGGTTACCAACTTGTTGATTTGTGTGTGAAAGGATTTATGCATTTTATGGAAATCGGTATTTTAGAACACAGTACACTTGAATTCTTAGGAATATAGTTTCAGAAAAAGTGTCTTCTAACAGTTGTGTTTTAATTAGCATCATGTAAAGAAGATGATATGCCCATTAGTTCCAATATTTCAGTAATTTCCTTTCAGTCTGAATGAAACACCTAAAATTAATGAGATTCTGTTTTGGGGGGGGGCTTAGAAATTTAGCTTATTTGAATATAGAGCATTTTCTATTTGATGGGTTATGAGAGTAAGTTTTTTTTGTATTTTACTTTCTTATATGAAATTTTTGTTCTCCAGGGAGTGTTTTATTTTTTAAAATGCTGGGGAAGTAGAAATAATATTTAACCATCTTACTCATTTCTTGGGTAATAGAACAGAGTAATGAAATTTTTATTTCAACACATTTATATGAAAAATCTTAGTGTTAGAATTTATTCCTTTGTGGGAAACCACATGATTTTGCATGAATAATTCAAATTTAAGAAATTTGAGTCTAATCTATGCAGATTCTTACATAATTAAAAATTAAAATGTTCAGCAATAAGTAGGCTTATAACTCTCCATGAAGCAATATAAATATTTTCTAGGGCTAAAACTCATTTAAAACTACAAATACACTCTAATTTTTCAGTGGATGAAAGAATTCAAAAATGATATGCTAACTGAGAAAGATGCCCGATACCTGACTGTTAAAGAAGTGGTTCATCATCTAACTGAATGCAATAAAGACATCCCCGGGATCTCTGAGATCAACTGGGTTATTCACGTGGTTGATTCTCCAGACATCAATGCCTTTGTGCTTCCAGTAAGTGAATGTTCCAAACATATTTTGCTGTTAAATATAGTGACTTTTATTTTTCTATATTGTTCTAATTGCTTACATTTTCTTGATGTGCAGAATGGACAAGTGTTTGTTTTCACTGGGCTTTTAAATAGCGTGACTGATATTCATCAGCTTTTCTTCCTTCTGGGCCATGAAATAGCACATGCAGTCCTTGGACATGCTGTAAGTACCTGAAACAGATGTTCATTCAGTTGTTGGCATTTGATTTTAACTAAATAAGGTACATCTTTCCCTTTTTATGATAGAATTTAGTTTTTAGTAGTTGCCTTATTACAATGCCTGAAAAAATGTGATTGGCTAGTTTTAAGAATTTACAATTAGCATTTCTCATGAATACTGCTTTTACTACCTTTTTTGCTAACCTCTGTTTCAAATTTAGATTTTGAGTTTTATATAATTATTAATATGCTTGTAATCTAGTCAGAAGATGAATTGTAGGAAATTGATGTTACTTTTTAAGTGGGTAAATCAGTGTTTCCTCTTTCTGGTCATTTTTACAGGATTTCTTGAAGCATCTAAGGATGTCTAGAATGATAGGTATCTGTAATTAATTTAGAGTAATAATGACACTTTGCTGTTTGATAGTATGCTGAGCTTTTTAATGTTGTACCTTTTAATACATATTAAGTATGTTTTTATTATCCCTGTTTTGCATATCAGGAAGCTAGCATTTAAACAGACTCTAAATGACATGACTAGCATGGAGAAGTGTCAGACTGGGGCTTCATGGCAGGTCTTCTGTGTGTAGTCCAGTGTTTCTTCCTTTTACTGCGTTTACTCAGTCGTTGGCTGCAATTTTCTTGCAAATCATAGAATAAGAAAGTTTGATGTGAGACGTCTGTAATCACACATCTATTCATATAGATGGCTTATATAGTAACATAGTATGAGTCCAGGAAAATAGCATTTATTTTACTGATTTCATTAAATAGAATGAATGGCTCTTTTGTCTACATAATTAGAGGGAAATATGTTTCTTTAACACAAAGCATGAAGGTAAATAGTGAAAGAACTTCAAAATGCTAAATCAGAATTGCAAATAATATTAACATCAAATGGAAATGGTAGTGTTTATAATCCTTCTGAAAGGCACCTAAGATTCTACCTATTAGAATATTATTGAGATAAGGTGGGTCGAAGTTGTGCTGTTCTGAAATAGAACTAGTAATTATCTCCATTATGTCTTCTGAGTTACAGGGAAATTATAAAAAGAGTTCTTATATATATGCAATAATAAATCTAAGCAGCTGAAATAGTGTCTTATATATACCCCAACATCTTTCAATTAATGGTATAACTGCAAAATAAATCAGGTTTGTTTGGATGTTTTAGCATTTGAAAGGTGTTAGTATTCAGTACATTTGTTTTATGCATTTAATTCAATGCCTCATGTTCTTTGTCAGTGTAAGAACAATAATTAGATGAGACATAGAAAGCAAGTACCAGCCTTAATTGAAAATAGTGATTAATATTTCTTTGGTGAGGTCTTTATTATCAACACAATATTTTCTCTTTTGGTAATCTGAATTTTGGTTTGATCTAGTCTTTTGTGTTATTTTCTTTATTTCACAACTGTAGTTTTGGTTTCTTACTAGCTTTCTAAGATTTTATAATGGTGATTATATTCTTTAAGAATTATAAAGAAGGACTTGCCTTTTATAGTGAGTTTATCAGTTTGAATTGCACTCTGCAGTTTGAATTGAATTTTCTAAACGAACAGTTCTTAAAATGGAGCAAAATGTGTCCCTTAAGGATAGAGAATATTATAAAGGGATGTACTTGAGGTCCTTCTTTATAGGGTTTTTTAAAAAAAATTTAATTTAATTTCTTTGAAAGAGAGAGGGATAGAGATTTTCCCTATGCCCTTGGACTCCCCAGATGGCTGCAGTGGCCAAGGTTAGGCCAGCTAAAGCCAAGAGACAAAAGCTTCTTCTGGGTCTCCCATGTGTGTGACACCTGATCCACTTTTCTGCTGCTTTTCCCAGGCATTGATAGGGTGCTGGATGGGAACTGGAGCAAGCTTGGATATGAACCCAGAAGCCATTGTCCTTATGGGATGCCAGCAATGAGGCAACAGCTCTACTGGCTACACCACTACACAGGCCCACTTCATTGTGTTTTTTAGCTGTGTGTGCTTTTTTTTTTTAAAGATTTATTTATTTATTGGAAAGTCAGATATACAGAGAGGAGAGACAGAGAGGAAAATCTTCCGTCTGATGATTCACTCCCCAAGTGAGTGCAACGGTTGATGCTATGCCGATCCGAAGCCAGGATCAGGAACTACTTCTGGGTATCCCACGTGGGTGCAGGGTCCCAAAGTTTTGGGCTGTCTTCGACTGCTTTCTCAGGCCACAAGCAGGGAGCTGGATGGGAAGTGGAGCTGCAGGGATTAGAACTGGCACCCATATGTGATCCCGGGGCGCTCAAGGCGAGGACTTTAGCCACTAAGCCATGCCACTGGGTCCTTTTAGCTGTGTTTTGTACATTGAGGTATCAGCATTACATCAACATTAAGTAATCAACTTTAGTGGCAAACAGTGAACTAAATCTATATTTAGATTTGGGATGCTAAATCTATACTTAGATATTACTATTTAAAAAACAGCAATTTTATCTTTAAGCTTTTCCAGTAATGGGTTTAAGTACGTATAGAAATTCACAGGACCAAATTCCTTGGTGAGATATATGAGACTTAGTAAATGATAGACTTATGTCAATGAATTCTACTCACTAGGTCATAAAAATCAAAACAGTTTTATGAAAGTTCCAGTCTCTCTGAATTGCTCTTGGTTTAACTGCTGCTTCATATGTTAGGTAACGCTTAGTGTTTATCCAAGAATATAAGTATAGTAAACACTTCTATTTGGTTGTTAAAGATACAGTGAGTCAGGGCCTGGCATGGTAGCCTAGCGGCTGAAGTTCTCGCCTTGAACACACCGGTATCTCACATGGGCGCTGCTTCTAATCCCGGCAGCCCCGCTTCCCATCCAGCTCCCTGCTTGTGGCCTGGGAAAGCAGTCGAGGACAGCCCAAAGCCTTGGGACCCTGCACCTGCATGGGAGACCTAGAAGATGCTCCTAGCTTTGAATCAGCTCAGCTCTGGCCGTTGTGGAGTGAATCAGTGGAATGGAAGATCTTCCTCTCTGTGTCTCGTCCTCTCTAAATACATGCCTTTCCAACAACAAAAAATGTCTTAAAAAAAAAAGATACAATGAATCCTAGGGTGTAATGTGTATATCCAATTCCTGGTGCCTTTACTAATAACTGTGCAAACCTTTTTCCATCTCAGTTTCATTCTCTGTGAAATAGTGATAAATGTGTAAAAGTGTTATACTTGTTAATATAAGAAAAATGTGAGCTTGTTGTTGTCAAGTGCCCTACTAATGTTGATTCAGTACTCGAGTGATGTGCGACTAGGTGAGGGAAAGGGCCAGGTGGGAAGGATAAGTTCACAGAGGAACGAACTTTGGATCCTACCGGGGATGATCAGTTAAATAGACATAACATGACTACATATGGTGAATTAGATATGTAAGCATGTTGCAGTATTGTCTTTACTTATTAAATCCAGTTTTCATTTTTTAAAATTATTTTTCAGGCAGAGAAAGCTAGCTTGGTTCACTTATTGGATTTCCTGGGTATGATTTTTCTCACAATGATTTGGGCCATTTGTCCTCGTGATAGTCTGGCACTCTTGGGCCAGTGGATCCAGTCTAAATTACAAGAGGTAAGTCTGAGATGATATCTTGCATTTATACTGACCTGTGATGGGAATATTTTGAGATTACTGTAAAGCAACAAATAACAGAAATGTTTATACATTTTATCATGAACTATAGATCCTCAGTTTGAGGGTCTTTATTTTCCCATTTTTTAAAAGATACTGTTATATATAGGCATTTAAATAAGGAATACTGTGTCTCTAAAAATGGATGTAGATAGGTTAGAAGTACTTGGCAACTTCTGACTAATAGAATTTCCCCCCAAAGTTATTGACTATGTGTGGAGAAAACCTAGTCAGTGTTTCCTTGTCCTCACCTTTACTTACTGTGCTGGACTGACTGACTCTGCCTTTCCTGAATATTTACTATTTTTTTTTAAAGATTTTTTTTAATTGGAAAGGCAGATTTATATAGAGAAGGAGATACAGTCAGAAAGATCCTCCATCTGCTGGGTTCACTGCCCAAGTGGCCGTAATGGCTGCAGCTGAGCCAGTCTGGATCCAGGAGTGTCTTCTGGGTTTCCCACATGGGTGCAGGGTCCCAAGGCTTTGGGTTGTCCTCTACGGCTTTCGCAGGCTACAAGCAGGAAACTGGATGGGAAGTGGGGCCGTGGGGACATGAACCAGCTCCGCTATGGCATCCCGGTGGACGCAAGGTTATCTTGCTGGGCCTGAATATTTGCATTTTGATGGGGAACTCATAACAACCTCTGAGCATTCATGGACATGAAGTTGGCTGAAACCATTTTATCATTCATCCTCCTCCTTACCAACATCACTTGGAAAATACTGAAAGGTCAGGCATTGTTGTCTACGGCCATACCACCCTGAATGCGCCTGATCTCGGAAAATACTGAAAGATCATTCCTAGAAGGTGTTTGTAACTTTTGTTTTCAGTGCTTATGAATATTGATAATTGTCTCAAAAATATCCCAAATTCCTCATTCTGTTCAAAATTCCATACTATTAAAGGTGGTTCTTGGATCAAACATAACTGCTTTGTTAACCATGATTAATTATTTTATTTTACATTGTTTTTCAGATACTTTCTTTGTCCTGGGAGGTTTGATTCTTCAGGAGCAATCTGTTGTTTGTTTATTTAATGACTTGTAGAATACCCATTTGAGTGCCATCTGGGTGCTGTTTTAAGTCGGGTGTCTAAAATTCTTATGAACAAATTGCTGTTGTAGTTGCTTAAACTCTTGGAGTCTTACTCAGTGTTACTGCATCATTTGACTTCATTTAAATTGAATGTTGTTAAAGATGAAAAGAAAATGATCATGATTATTTTAATATTTTTAATATTATTTACATAGTTAAGAGGGATGCATGCCCATGTTGGCTTCCCACTAGGGTGGAGAGGGCCAGCCATGGAGGAAGGTAGGTGGGACAAATGCTTCAATTACCTTCCTTTTTCTCTTGTGCCCACAGTGGGGGATGGGGAGGGGATCACTCTTGGCTGTCAAACTACATCAGCACCTGGCATCGCAGGACAGTCATTTGATGATGCCTTAGAAGCCCTGGTATAGGAAAGAGTATTCCAAGGGTGTTACTTGAGTGGTTTTGATAGTTCAGAGAAGCTCTTGGTTTCATTGCTCCAGAGTTGAGAAAAATCTTTCCAAGGTCTGCTGGTTGACAAAGTCTACCTAAGTGCAGCCACAGACCTAGGAACATGCTGCAAAGCTTGGCCAGAATTGTCAACCTGTTCTGCTTTCCATCCTCTGACAAAGCAGTCAACGTCCCTTGCTGGCCTAGATGAGCTGGCTGTCATGTCCTGCATGTGCATCTGGAGCATGCTGTCCACTGCCCAGGCATCAGCAACTGAGGAGGCCCATTCCTGATACATAAATTCCAAGGCTGAACCACACATTCCCTGTGACTGGGGTCTGAGTCCAGAGGTCAAGTTGGGTAGTCCCCTAAGAAACCTCACCTGGGGTGACCTCAGACTTCACTCATGTGTGCTAGCCGGTGTAGGGTCAGTTTCGGTCTGTCTCCCACACCAGCCTATGCACACAGTGGTAGATGTAGCTGCCTGATCAGTTCCGCCCCAGCCCCATATCTCATGCAATTCAGTAGGTACTCTGGCCCAGCCCAGCCTGCCAGGCTGCCATAGATCTGGTCCTCACATATACTATTGGGTGCTGTGGTCTAGTTGGGGTGACCTCCAATAATCCTCACCTGGGCCAACCCAGACCTGGCTTTTGTGCATGCCAGCCTCTGCTATGACCTTTCTGGTCCGTCTGCAGCCCATCTTGCTCTCGTACACACCCATGTGTGCTGTGGCCTATCTCAGCCCACTCCACCCACCCCAGACCTGACCCACATGTATGCTGACAGTTGCTACCATCCTGTCCAGCCTGGCCTGCCCCCAGCCCTGGCTCTTGTGCTGACTAACGATAGAAATAGCCTAGTATGGGAATGCCTATAATTCCTCGGCCAGGCTCGCTAGGGGTTACTGTAGTCCAGCCTGACATGACTTGCCCCCAGTCATGGTGGTACCTAGCTGATGCTGAGGCCTAGCCGGCTTGCCCACACCAGTTCTGGCTCTCTCATTCTAGTGGGTGCTGCAATCCTGCCTACACTGGCTCACCCCTCGTTCCAGCTCTCACATTCACAGGTGGAAGCAGTGGCTCAACAGGAGATTCATATTTGTCCCTGACACTGATTTGCTGTAAGTTAGAGGAAGTAATACCATTTTTTTTCTCCTTTCTGTAAAAAAATCAGATTTGGTCAAAAGACAGATAACTTTCAGCTTTTTACTCTTTGAAATGCTTGATGAATTCTGTCACCTCAGTTTTAGTTCTTCAGCTTAACTAAATTGAAAATCAGGTATGAGTTCAGTTTGAATTCTTTCTCTCTAAAGCAAAGCGTTTGAATAATTTTGCTGAGGAGATATTTTCCTCTGGAATTCCTTTGCTTACTGTGATTGGAAAACAAAGGGTGGTTGATAGGGAGTCATTAAGGAATGGGGATTGCTGACATTCAGTTGCCATTTATTCACTTACTGTGTGGGCCAAATGATAAATTTAAGATAGCATTTCTCAATCTCAGGGCTCTTAGCCTTTAGAACTGGATTCTGTGTTGTGGGGAGTTTCCCTGTGATGTATGATGTTTAGTGGAATATATGGTGTGTTTCCCCCTAGATGCCAGTGATTCTTCTCATCTTGCTCCACTGTAGTTGCCACAATCTGTTATATTTTCCAACCCAAATGGAGTTTGGGGCTCCTGGTTTTGGTCTGGCCCAACTCTGGCTGTTGCAGGTGATTGGAAAGTGAACCATCAGATGAAAGACCCTTCTTCCTTTTGTGCTCTGCTTTTGAAATAGACAAACAAATAATTTAAATATTTTAAAAAAGACTTGTTCATTATTTTTTATTAGAAAGTCCGATTTAAACAAAAAAAGATTTTACAGAGAGAAGGAGGGGCACAGAGAGAAAGATCTTCCATTCACTGGTTCACTTCCCAAGTGGCTTTAATGACTGGGGCTGAGCAATCTGGAACCAGAAGCCAGGAGCTTCTTCCAGGTCTCCCATGTGGGTGCAGGGCCCGAAGGCTTTGGGCTGTCCTCTACTGCTTATCCAGGCCACAAGCAGGGAGCTAGGTGAGAAGTGGAGCAGCTAGGACACAAACTGGCTCCCATATGGAATGCTGGCACATGCAAGGCAATGATTAGCCACCAGGGTATTATGCTGGGTCCTAAACAGATAAATCTTAATAACAACCACCACAACAAAACCACTTAACAGTTTATGAATGTTCCTGTGGGACAGCTTTACACTGGATTGAGAACCATTAAATTAAAGCATTTAGTACATTTACCTTGTATAAAGTATGAACTCCAAGAAATATGAGTTTTTTTTTGTAAAGATATATTTTTGTTTGAAAGGCAAATTTTTCATAGATAAGGAGAGACAGAGAAAGATTTTCTGTTTGTGTTTCACTCCCTAAATGTCTGTAATGGCTCAAGCTAAGCCAATACGAAGTCAGGAGCCAGGAACTTCTGATCTCCCATGTGGGTGCAGGGTCCCAAGGACTTGAGACATCCTTGACTGCCTTCCTGGTGCAACAGCAGGGAGCTAGATTGAAAACAGAGTAGGGGAGACTTGACCCAGCACTCATTAGTGTATGCTGTGCCACGTAACTGACCCTAATTATTTTTCATTTAAGCCTCTTTGCAACTCTGGGAGGCTGACATGATCACTATCCATTTTACTTAAAAATGGTACCGGGCTTAGAGGTGTTAAACACTCCAAGGTTAACATGAAGTGCCAGCATTTGTCTTCGAACTGAAGTTTCACTCCTTTAAAAAGCCGATGTTGTTAAGTGTGCTGTCCATAGATTTGATGGGGAAACAGGCAGACTGCTCTCAGAGAATAAAGACATTGAGTGAGGGAGTCCTCAGCCTTAAGCCAGTGTGATGGAGAAAGTCAGATCTCAAGGTCACATGCTGTGGATTTTGAGCCAGCCATCACAGGTCTTAGCTAACTTTGAAAAATTGCTTCCTCAATTAGTAGCTCTTTTCTCGAAAGTTGTACCTATTGATCTGTCTCCTACAAAGTTTTAGTGCTTACTGAAAATTGGAATTTAACTGGAAATCATTCACATAAATACAAGTAATTAGGAAAGTTAAAGTTATGATACCTCTTTATTATTTTTTTATTGATGTCAGAAGAAAATTTTATTTTCCCACTAATCAATATTTAGAACAGAAAAAGGAAATTAAGATAATTTGTCAAAGAGCATTCTGCCATATGCTTAATTTTCTTGTTGGAATAAATCCTCTAGTAGTGTCACTGGCTATTATAAACCTATATTTTTTTTCAATTTTATTTTATAAGTGTAAAATCAAAGTGTTCCGGGTCAGATTAAGAGCCTGCATCAATAAGCTTTTTTTTTTTTAGATTTATTTATTTATATTGCAAAGTCAGAGACATATAGAGAGGAGGAGAGACAGAGAGGAAGATCTTCCGTCCAGTGATTCACTCCCCAAGTGACCGCAACGGCCGGTGCTACACCAATCTGAAGCCAGGAGCCAGAAATCTCCTCCAGGTCTCCCACACGGGTGCAGGGTCCCAAGGCCTCGGGCTGTCCTCGACTGCTTTCCCAGGTCACAAGCAGGGAGCTGGATGGGAAGTGGATCAGATGGACATGAACTGGCACCTACCTGGGATGCCAGCACTAGCAGGTCGAGGATTAGCTGGCCGAGCCACAGTATTGACTCCATAGAGTAAACAAATCTTAAAAAAAAAAATAGACAAAATACAAAAAGTGAACTGCTTACAATACTACAGACTGTCCACAAATGTATAAACATATATAATTTTTTATAAAATTTTCATGTTTTTAAAGTCTTCATTTCCAGTGAAGAAAATAAAAGCTGTGTATCTGTTTTATACCACAGTGTTCTTTAAATGGTGATCATATAGACTATATAAAGTTGTATCCTAGGTAATTAATGAGATTAATTTTGAAAAATTAAATTTTCTGAACTCCTTTTGTCATGTCTTAAATTGCACTAATGTAGTTTTTGCATCCTGTTTCTTGCAGTATATATTTCATAGACCATACAGTAGGACACTGGAGGCTGAAGCTGACAAAATTGGGCTGCAGCTTGCCGCAAAGGTAAAGTATTCAGGAGTTGAGAATACACTGTGCCCTTGCAAAGGCTATAGGGTCAATGCATGTTGTCTTTCTGCTGTTCGGCATGGGCAGAGAATAACAGGTGGATTCTACTAACTTTTCAGAGAAAATTTTCACTAATTTATAGAATTATGAGTCTGCGGACTTTGAAAGAATGTGTGAAGATACTCATTTTGGCTTCCTTTTATATGTGAGGCTCAACATCAAAAAAAAAAAACTAGTCCAGTTGAGAAATATATTTAAGTATTTAAGATGCTTTTTAGCTGTTTCCTTCCTGAAGCAAAGTTAATCCTATTGTGGTAAAGGCTGAATGAGCAGGTTTTTTTTTTCTGAATATTTATTATTTAAAGAAATAGTGCAGGCGCTCTGATTGGCTTGTTGGAACAGATTTTTTTTGCTAGCCACATAGATCAACTCTGGAGGTTTATTTAAACTGGCCTCCTGCTTGTCTGTTTAGCAAGGTACTTCACACCTGGCTGCTGTTTCTAATCCTGTGTGATAACCAAGTACTCTTAGCAGGATTTAACATTGGAAGTGAGAAAATGAGTGTAAACAGTGCCACTTCACTAGTAAGCCCAAATTCTATTTGATTCTTTGCTGAGTTTCTAGTAGCTATTAATTATTAAAAATCAGTATTGAACTTTTTGTGAATTTTATGGGTTTAATTTCATAAATCAAGATATTACTCATCCACAAAAGCAAAAGTGGTTCTTTGAATGTTAAATAAGGAAAACTAACTGTATTAACAGTCTGCATGCATTAAAAGGTTTCCAAATAAGGAACTTTTAACTTAGCTGAATAAAGAATTTTTCAATTTTAGTATGCAACAACCCGACAGATTTTCTCCTTAAATATATTCTGTGGTTTGATTATATTTTCCTGCTATATTTCCAAGGAACTTTGAAGTTTTGCTCTTTGATATAATTTAGTAGAGATCAGTTTTTAGCATATGGACGGATAGCTATTAGATGCAATATCGCATTGAAAAGGGTCATTTTTTCCTCACCACACCTCAGTGTCTCTTTGCTGTGAAGGCAGGAGTGTTTAGAAGGGCTTGTTTCTGGGGTCACTGTTTTGTTTCAGGATTGCCTTTCAGCAAGCACCCCATATTTGTGTGGCTTTTTGAAAGTGTTGATGTCTGGCGGCCTATCCTCCCTTGTTGTTCTGCAAGACTGATTGGGCTGTTTCTGGATCTTTACGTTTCCATATAATTTAAAAAATCAGTTTACTAAATTATGCACTAATGCAAAAGCATGTCTGCGATTTTGATTCATTTTACATTGCATTCATACATCAGTTTAGGAGCCATCAGTGTAGTTGGCTTGTGTTCAAAATACTAACTCATTTGATGTATTTGTTCATTCAATTACATACTATGTAATTTTTCTCAATATTTTGATGTTTTTTGTATGAAAAACTTATTTTTTTTCCCTAGACATTTAATTATTTTTATTGGAAAAGTAGATTTTCTTTTACTTTACAGAGAAAGAAGGAAATATAGGGAAAGATCTTACCTCTGCTGGTTCACTCCCCAAGTGGCCACAACAGTCAGAGCTGAGCCAATCCAAAGCCAGCAGTCAGGAGCTTCTTTTGAGTCTCCCATGTGGTGCAGGGTTCCAAGGCCTTGGGCCATCTTCCACTGCTTTTCAGGGCCACAAGCTGGTAGCTGGATGGGAAGTGGAGCAGCCAGGACATGAACGGGTACCCATATGACATCCCAGCGCTTGCAGAGGGAGGAGGAGCCCTGCTCTTATCTCTCGTTTTAAGCCTTTTCCGTGTGTGTGTGTGTGTGTGTGTGTGTGTGTGTGTGTGTGTGTGTGTATGCAATATTCTTGTATATATATTCACATGAGGTTTATAATTCCTCCAAGAACATCTTTGTCATGATGCAAATATTAATAGATTCTTTTTTCCAGTTTATATTCTTGTTTCATTTGTTTTTTCTTTGACTCATTTAAAAGTGTATCGCTTGAAGATCTGACCATTTACTGATCATTTGATTGGAAAATTGTGGAATCGTTAAAATTCTTTGAAAATTCTTGATGTTGTTTTATGGCTGAGCTTGTGGTCATTTGTTAAAATGATGTGCCCCTGAAAATGGAGTCTGTCGTTGTAAGAGCAGGGTACTATCCCAGGTCAGTTTTGTAAAGTATATTAATTTTACATCATCCTTGTTGACTTTCTTTTCTCTTTTTTCTAGTTATTAAGGGAAGTGCATCATTCTTTTGTTATGGTTGAGGATCGCTCTTTTTCTGTTTAGTTTCATTAGTTTTCACTTTGAGTATCTTAAAAGTGTTTAGCATACATGCCCGAAAGTGTTAGATCATCCTAGCAGATCGATTCTGTGTCAATATAAAATCCTTCTTTGACTCTAGAGATACTTTGCTGAATTATCAGCTTTCTCATTAATATTATTATCCCAGGTTTCTTTTGATTGGCATTTGTATGGTACAGCTTTTTCAGCTTATTTTTAAAGCTTCTTTTTTAAAAGATTTATTTATTTTTATTGCAAAGTCAGATATACAGAGAGGAGGAGAGACAGAGAGGAAGATTTTGCATCCGATGATTCCCTCCCCAAGTGACTACAGCAGCCGGTGCTGTGCCAATCCGAAACCAGGATCCAGGAACTTCCTCCAAGTCTCCCACATGATGCAGGAACCCAAGGCTTTGGGCCATCCTCGACTGCTTTGCAGGCCACAAGCAGTGAGCTGGATGGTAAACGGAGCATCTGGGATTAGAACCAGTGCTCATATGGGACCTGGCGCATTCAAGGCAAGGACCTTAGCTGCTAGGCTATCGCTCCAGGTCTGTTTTTAAACTTTATGTCCTCATGGATATACCTCTTGTAAGTAGAATGTAGTAACTTCTTAAAAAAAAAAATATATATATATATATTTATTTTTTCCAATTTTAATATATTTTTATTTTGGATTTTGAATTATGTGGTAATTTTCGTATAGGCTGGGATTCCCCCCCAAACTCCCACCCCCATCAGATTATTCCCATTTTGTTACAATAGTGTAGTTCTTAATAAGGAATCATAATTGTATCAGTCTCTTATTTAAGTGTACCCCAAAATTGTTGGTACAGACAATGTCAGTCCAGCATCCCATTGTGCACACATATTCAACAATTTCATTGGGATCTATCTTTTGTCTGGAAGCAGGGATACTTGTTCCATTATATTCCCATATCTGTATTTGATAGACCCCAGTACTCCATCACTATACATTTCCATAATTGAGAAGCCATGAAACAAGGCCAACAACTGGTATGAGTTAGAATAGCCACAATAACAACAACAGCAAATTACAGCACCATGAAAAAAATGCACCGGTGAGTAACCCACACATGGATGACAAAAAGGAAACACAAAAGTCTCTTGAGAAAAGTGATGCCATCGTACAATCCATGAGTCCGTGATGAATTCTACAAGAGAAAAGAAATTATTTGGAATAAGCCAAAGTGAAATTAGAAAAACATTGAAACACATGGGACATAGCCAAAAAAGCAAGCAAGCAAACAAAAACCAGTGTGGATTAGATTATTGAAGCTACATTTTCCATGTTGATTTCCTTACATAAGAGAGAATATATGGTATTTGTTCTTTTGTGATGGACTCATTTCACTGAGCATAATGGTCTCCAGTTGGGACCACCTGGTTGTAAATGGAATAATTTCATTCTTCTTAATAGCCAAATAATATTCCATGGAGTAGATGTACCACAGTTTCTTTAACCACTCTTCTTTGGATGCACATCTGGATTGTTTTCATGTCTTTGCTATTGTGGATTGTGCTGCTGCAAATATAGGGTTACAGCTCCCCTTCTCATATGCAGATTTCACTTCTATTGGGTATATTTCTAGGAGCGAGTTAGCTGAGTCATATGGCAGGTTTATTTGCAATTTTCCAAGCACTCTTTATACTGATTTCCACAGTGATTGTACTAGCCTATACTCCCACCAGCAGCAGTGAAGGAGGGTGCCTTTCTCCCCCATCCATGTCAGCAGGTGTTGTTAGTTGAGTTCTGAATGTAGGCCAGTCTCACTGGAGTTAGGTGGTACCTCAATGTGGTTTTCATTTGTATCTCTGATGGCTAGGGAGCCTGAGCATCTTTTCATATGTCTGTTAGCCATTTGAATCTGTTCTTTTGAAAAAAATGTCTATTCATTTCCATTGCCCATTTGTTACAAGGTTGTTTGTTTTGCTGTCCCTGGGTTTCTGAAGCTCTTTGTAAATCCTGGATATTAGTCCCCTATCACTTGTGTAGTATGCAAAAGTTTTTTCCCATTCTGTTGGTTGCTTCTTCACTTTGTTAATTGTTTCCTTTGCTGTACAGAAGCTTTTTAGTTCGATGTAGTCCCATTTGTTTATTTTGGATTTAATTGTCTTTGAAAGGCAGTGACAGGGAGAGATGGAGAGTCACAGAAAGGAAACTGGTCAATTTGTCTGTTTTCCCTGTCAGCTCTGATAGTTTTGCTTCAGCTTCTTACTTTTAACAGTGTATACAAGGTTGCTGCTTTTCTGATTCATTATCATTCACCCTCCCAGTTGCTTCGTGTGTTTTGATGCTTTGTGCTAGTGGCGTATAAATTTGGGACTCTTCTGTCCTCTGAATGAATTTTTTGAGGAAAGCAAAGGAATACTAGTAATACTTTCTTTTAAAGTCTTTTCTTTTTTAAAAAGAGATTTATTTGTTTTTATTGGAAAGGCAGATTTATGATGAGGAGAGACAGAGAGAAGGATATTCTGACCACTGTTTCACTCCCCAAGTGACTAAAATGATTGAAGCTGAGCCTATCCGAAGGCAGGAGCTGGGACCTCTTCTGGAGAGCCTCTTCTGAATCTCCCACACGGGTGCAGGGTCCCCAAGCTTTGGGTTTTCCTTGACTGCCTTCACAGGGTCAGGAGGCGGAGTTGGTCTCGCCAGCAGGTAAATAGGAAATCACAGGGATAGGCTAATGCTCCTGCTGCTATTATG